CTCATATGTAAGTTGGGAACTGCCCAATATTGGTTGAAATATGTATATGTATTTAAAAGTTTATAGTTTTAAAACTTGAAGGACTATTACATCCTAAATATTGCATGGAGAAAGTAAGGTGTTCCCCTATTCTTACCTGTAACCCCACCCCTTAAGAACTAGGTGAAATTATATGGATCTCTTAATTCCATTACCCACTAATGCCTCCCACCAGGGGAGTGGGTGTTAAGAGAAGGTAAAAGCCTCTGTGCATTAATGTAATTTAAATATTCACATTTGGCTAGTGGTCACTCTGTTGGGCAGTGCTGTATTGGGCAGTGTTTAAACTTCATCCTGTGGTAAGGGGGGCCATTGAGGGTATTTGAAGAGGAGGGAAGAAATGATTAGATTTAAATTTAACATCCTGTTAGTAGCTGTATATAGGGAGGAAAAATTGAAGCTATAAACACCAGTAGAGAACTATGTAACAGTTCAAATGAAAGACTGTTTTATTTTTTTATTTTTTTTTAAAGATTTTATTTGAGAGAGAGAGAGAATGAGAGACAGAGAGCACGAGAGGGAAGAGGGTCAGAGAGAGAAGCAGACTCCTTGCTGAGCAGGGAGCCCGATGTGGGACTCGATCCCGGGACTCCAGGATCATGACCTGAGCTGAAGGCAGTCGCTTAACCAACTGAGCCACCCAGGTGCCACTGTTTTAAACAATGGCACACGATTAGATGAATATTTGAGTACAAAATCAATAAAGTTGATTTTGTAATTATTTCATAAGTGCTTATTTTATTACATTGAATCATGACCAACTTGATGGCAGACTCTATATCTTAATGGTAACCAACGTGTTTTGAGTAATTGCTAAATGACAGGCATTGTTGAATGTCTTACGTATGTTATCTCATTTAGTGCTCTCAACACCCTATGAGGTAGGAAATAATATTATAGATGAAGAACAAATTGGAGAAATCAAGTAACATGGCCAAAGTTACACAGATAATAAATGCAGAGAGATTTAAAAAGAAGAGAATACAATTAAAATCATATGTCAAGGGGGATCATGAAATATTTAAATATGTTTGTTGCATAGATTATTCCTGTTTTATGGGAATTTCCTAGTTTTGGCACATAGTAGGTAGTAAAAATAAAATTAATACTTGAGCATATCCTCTGTGCTAGGAATTATTCTAAGCCCTTGACATATATTAGATTATTTAATTTTTATAACGGCCCTGTAAGAAAGGTATTATCATTATATTCATTTTTATAGAGGAAAAGACTGATAGCAAACATAGGATGACTTGTTCAAGAAAGTGGCAAAGCAAGTATTAGAGTCCACAAAATTTGGCCCCAGTGCTCCTGCAGTACGTAATATATTTATGTGTTATGTTAATAAATAGTGTACAAATGGAAAAATAGATCATACTGTGGTGTTTCAGTATACCAGACTCTTAACTATGAAAGTGACTAAACTTGAGATTTAATTAATATGGTTTCTGGGTAAGTGGAGATCTTTCTTTTTATGGTTTTTGGCAGTAAAGTGTAGGTTCTCTAAGAATTTTGTCAGGCTGTGTAGAATGTGGCTGTTTTTTGTGTTAAATTGTGTACAGCCTTGAGTTTACTGACCCTGATGACTCTTTTTCCTCTATTTGCTCACTAGAGCTGTGCTTATAGTTCAAAGACAGTATAGTGTAGTAGAAGGACCATGGTTGGATTCATATATCTTGCATTTTAATCCCAGCACTATCAATAACTAACTGTGTGACTGGACAAGTTACATATTCTAGAACATCTCTTTTCTAACCTACAAAATGGGGAAATGAAACCTCTGGATAGATGTAAGGAGTAAATGGAATGATACATATTATTTAAAAATGCTTGCTGTAGTACTTAGCACATGGCATATGCTCAAAAAACTGCAACTACTTTACTTCTTACTAAAAGAAACATTTCCAGATTTAAGTACCATTTCTTTCCTTATAGTTGTTCAACTTCTTAGGAGAACCTTGTACCTGCCAACCACTTGATAACCCTGACCTTTAGACTTTGAACCAGATACTGTAGAGTTCCTAAATAAACTATGAGGAGAAATGCATTAATTCTTTATGCTGTTATGAGACTGTTTTGTGTCTAACTTTTACAGAGAGATAATCCTATGCTTTATTAAAAGCAAAAATGATAAGGAAAACTCCAGCTACTTGTATTTCTGGATTCCTATTCTGAGTGGATAAATGAGTAAATGAATACATGAATAATGTGCTAGTTGGAAATGAAAATAGCAAGTAATGGAACCCTTGAGAAAATTTCTCACGTGAGAAATCTTTTTCTGAAATATTTCCATCTTATTTCTCAGTGATGATGTAGATAGTGGCAATTTACAATCTGATTTTGGAATAGTATATTAATAGAAAAAACAAATACACAGAAGGTCAGCAGTCTCTGTACATTCTGGGAACATTCTTTTAGCAATTCTGATTTGTAGTGTAATGCTTTTATTTTAGGGAAATAAAGTACTTGAGTTCCCTTTATCCAAGTGCAGTGCCTAACTAGTAATATTTAATGATTAAGTAAAACTTCTGAGTATTGTTGAAATTGACTTCAGTAAAGAACAGTTAAGGAGAGGAAGGAAATAAATTCAAGCATCATTTTTAATGATGCAGTTTATATTTAAATAGACGTTTCTGAGGAATCATTTCAAATAAGCTTTGAGATATGACTTACAGACCATAAAATGCACACATTTTAAGTGTCAAAGTTCATGTTTTGATACAGGCAAACATTTGTGTAACTACTATATAATAAAATAGAAAATTTCTATCACCTAGGAAAAGTTTCCTTTGTGTCCCTTTGTAGTCAGTCCTCTGAAAAACAGCCAGTGATCTAATTTCTGTCACCATAGCCTGCTATAGAACTTTGTATAAATGAAATCATACAGTGTATACACTTTAATGTCTGGCATTTCTTGCTTAGTTATGTTTTTAGAATTTCTGCTTGTCATTGTATCAACAGTTCATTCAGTCTTATTCCTGAATAGTATTCCATTATATGAGTATACCACAATTTCTTTGTCAGTGAACAGGTTGATGGAATTTTGTGTTGTTTCCAGCTTTTGCCTATTAAAAATAAATCTTCTATGAACATCTTTGTACATTTTTGTAGTTTTGTGTTTTTCCCTCTTTCAAGGAGGGGCCATGTTCTATATCTATGTTTAACATTAAAAGAAACTGCCAAACTATTTTCTAAATGATTATACCATTTTATACTCCCACCAGAAGTGTGAGTTCTAGGTGCTCCACATCTTCTACAACACTTCGAATGGTCAAGGTTTTTAGTTTTGGCCATTCTCGTGAGTGTGTAATGGGTGTTCCATTTGATTTTTGTTTGCTTTTCTCTGGATAGCTAATGATATTGAGCATGCTTTCACTTTTCTCTGGATAGCTAATGATGTTGAGCATGCTTTCACACACTGGTCATTCCTGTATCCCCCTTTGTGAGGTGTTTGTCCTTTGCCCATTTTTGAATTGAGTTGTCCTTTTGGTGTTGATTTTTAGGAGTGCTTTGTATGTTCTTGGTGTAAGTTCTTTGTCAAATATATGTATTAAGAATATTTTCAGCTGGTATATGGAGTGCCTTTTCATTTTCTTATTGGTGTCTTTTGGTGGGTAGATTTTTCTTTTTTTAAGATTTTATTTATTTATTTGACAGAGAAACAGATAGCGAGAGCAGGAACACAAGCAGGGGGAGTGGGAGAGGGAGAAGCAGGCTTCCCGCAGAGCAGGGAGCCTGATGCGGGGCTCGACCCTGGGATCATGACCCAAGCCGAAGGCAGATGCTTAATGAGCCACCCAGGTGCCCTGATGTTTTTAATTTTGATTAAGACTTACTATTATTTTATTTGGCTTTTGATTTTTGTGTGCTCCCAAGAAATCTTTGTCTACTGCAAGGTTGCAAAGGTATGTCTCCTATAAAGGTATATCTCCTATAGTTTCTTCTAGAAGTGTTTAATTTTAGCTTTTATGTTTAGGTTAATGATCTATATCTGATTTTATTTTATTTATGCATCTTGTGTTTTTCACTAATTCATTAAATATTTATTGAGCACCTGCTCAGTGCCAACCTCTGTTTAGGCACTTGGTATCCATTAGTAAACAAAAAGAAGTCACTTGTGGTAAGCCCTTAGAAAGGCCTTAAACTTGTGAAATCTATATTCTAGGGGAAGTGACAGACAACAAATTAATAACTGAGTAAATGACATAGTATGATAGATGGTGAGAAAGCACCACGGTGGGAAGATAGAATAGGGTCAGGTAAAGGTTAGTAAGAAGATCAGCAGTTTTAAGAAAGGGTGGTAAAAGTAGGCTTTTTTGAGAATGTTGTTTAAGGAATGACTTGAAGAAGATGAGGGACTTAGCTGTTCATCTATAGAGTCTTCTGGGTAGAGAAAACAGCTATTGAAAGGATTTAAGGGGGGAGTATGTCTGGCATGTCCCAGTAATAGCCAGGATGCCAGGGTAGTAGAAGCTAAGGTCAGAGACATAGGGGAGGGCAAATTGTTTAGAATCTTATAGGACATTGTTAAGACTGTAGCTCTTTGTGTGAGGGACGTGGGAAGCCACTAGAGGGTTCACTATACTTAATAGACATTTTATTATTTTTTTTAAAGATTTTATTTATTTCAGAGAGAGAGAGAGAGCTTGAGCGGGGAGGTGGGGAGGGACTGAGGGAGAGGTAGAAGCCGACTCCCTGCTGGGCAGGGAGCCTGATGCGGGGCTACATCCCAGGACCCTGAGATCATGACCTGAACCAAAGGCAGACGCTTAACCTACTGAGCCACCCAGGTGCCCCTGTACTTAATAGACATTTTAAAATAGCACATATGTTTTCATGAATATCACTTAAGAGATTTCATATTATTGCTTCATATCTGCTTATAGGAATGAAAGCATTTTTTTTTCTTTGTTTTTTGTTTTTTCTGGTAGGTATACTTAATATTGGTTTTCTTATTTCAGAAAGATCCAGATTACCTGAAGCTCTGGTTGGACAGTTTTGTTTCTAGCTATGAACAGTTCTTAGATGTTGACTTTGAAAAGTTGCCTACCAGGTATGTATAAACTTCTTATCCTTAGATGAGTTTGTTAATTTGAGATACAAAGACTTTATTGATGACCTAGTACAAGGAGGGCAGTTCTGTGACATACATGGTATTCCTGCATAACCCTGCTCTCATGGCAGACTTTGTTAATTGATCACAGCAGGCTTTCTTGCTAATATGAAATTTGACTTCTTGAAGTAGAGAGGACTACCTTGGTGAACTACTAGCAACTGGGTGTCCTGCAACTCACTTCATTTCTAACACTAACTACCTGGAGGTGGTGGCAGATCCAAAAGATTAAGGGCAAAGTCCTCAACAAGACTGCCCTCACTTCAGACACCAGTTGCAAGTCTTGGGACCCTCCCTCATCTCTGACCAACCAGATATAAATTTGGAAGTTTTCACGACTCCCTTTGGTTCAGTAATTAGTTAGACTCACAGAACTCACTGAAAACACTGTCCTTAAAATTATGGTTTTATTACAGAGTAGGGCCTTAGAAAACATCTTGGAGGAGGTGAAGTATTCAGATTTTTCAAAGCTAGATTTAAAAATCATAAAATGGGAGGAAAATTCAAATTTTGTGGAAAAGTACAAGAAGAAGTATAAATCTTATCTCCCATTGCTCTGCCTACTACCATTCTACATTCACAGTTCCCAGGCCCACTTCCCAGAAAAATTTTTTTACTTTTTTCTCAAGCCATCTTGAAGACGTCATAGTTGTTCCCTGGATAAGAGAGGTTAGGCTGGGGTAAAAAGCTGGAGAAGTGAGGAGACAGCAGACACTTTTAGCCACAATAGGAACTCCATTTGTAGAGATACTATGAGATGGAAGGGGAGAAATGGGTAGTGGTTGATGATGAGAAAGAGTATCTAGAGAATTAAAAATCTTCAAGGAGGGAAGTGTTTGCAGTTTGCGGATGGAGGTAGGCAGTAAGAGGGTGGGCATGGGTGAATTGAGTCTGGAGAATCAGAAGCCAGATCATGAAATGCCATGCATGCATTGCTAATGGACTTTGATTTTTTGTTACAGAAGGTGTGAGGCTCTACTAAAGAATTATCTGCATGAAAGTGTCATGATGAAGTTTGTTTTTTAAAAGTCCCTGTGGTAGCATTAGGAGATTAAACTGGAAACGGTTGAGACTGAAGGCAAGAAGCGCAGTTAAGAGGCAATTTTAATAACTCAGAGAAGAAATCATTAGAGCTATGGACCAAGGCATTGAACTTCAGATGTGCTTTAATGCTCAGAAAGCACGAGTACTTCATTATTTATAAATACAGTCTCAGAATTCTTCATTAGATGATTTGTAACAGGTTTATAAAGTTTGAAAAGTATTAAATCTTGAACTCAAAACAAGATTACGTATTATTGATTTCTACTCATAAGAGAGTATTCTTGTGGTTTGTGCTTCGAGGTGCTTTTATTTTAATAATTTGCAGCTCACTTTAAATCATGAGCCTAAGGATTTTATGGAGTCAGGATTTGGGCCTTTGAATACTTGGAATATTGAAATGAAGTCTTCTAAAGTTTGTAAGATGCACTTGTTTTACATGTCTCCTTTCTTGGGAGGTCATTTCTAAAAACATTATGTAGACTTTTATTGCCACTATATTTAAAATAAGATGAAAAATGTCAGAACATTGCTTTATTCATGATTTAGCTGGTTTATTTAAAACTTTATTTCATATCTGACAGAAAACTAAACCATGAGTTTAGATTTTACTAATAGAAAACTTGCAGTTTTTCAAGTGAATATGATGTGCAAGATGTATAAAACTAGTCTGTTCACCTTAAAGATAAGAAACTCACAGATAATCCTCATTTAAGTTAAACTGACTTGATAGAACTTTTATTTATTTATTTTTAAAGATTTTATTTATTTGAGACACAGAGATACAGAGAGAGAGAGAGAGAGCATGAGCAGGGGGAGAGGCAGAGGGAGAGGGAGAAGCAGGCTCCCTGCCAAGCCAGGAGCCTGATGTGGGGCTCGGTCCCAAGACCCTTGGATCATGACCTGAGCTGAAGGCAGACGCTCAACCATCTGAGCCACCCAGGCGCCCCTTGATAGAACTTTTAAGCTAGAGAATTCCTAATGCAAGCAAAGAATGCTTTTACCAGAATTTAAAGCCTTGGAATTTAAGCTGGACTTCTCTTCCTGTTTTAGATGGAGACAACAGTGGGCAGCTGTTTAATGTAGACATTCAGTAGTCAAACAGAGAAGTGAAACAGATTTCTGGGGATTGGGAAATTTCAGCAAAAGGAGCTTAGAATTTGGGGGCAGTAGAGTTCTAATGATCGGAAAATGCTTCCAAATTCTTAAATCCTTATCACATTAGGAACATGGCCAAAACTTTCTCAACTTTATCTACAAGTCATGTTCTAATCAAACCCCAATTTTATAATGAGCATAAGTACAATAGATTTCTTTTGTAAGCTAATTTTTTTCTGTCTAGTAAAATTTTTAAAAATGCAAATAGAGAATGGGACAACTAAGGAAAAAGGGAACTAATCCTTTAAGTAATTAGGATTGAATATTGGGAAATCTAATGTTTCTTTCTTGTTGACTTATGGTTTTGGAAAAGTGAATAGGAATAGTTTAGCTTAGTCTTGAAAATCCGTTATATTTAAATTTAAATCTTTATTATTTTGAAGGTACTGTGGTTTTTCTCATCACCTCTTTTTAGCTCTTTAGCAGGGAAAAAAGTATATATAAAAGTGAGAGTTTTTCTGTACCATCTATAAAAGAGAAGGAAAGAATCCAAATTATAAGTGAAGTGGTGCCCGGACTAAAATGAAGCATGTATTTTTGTGACATGGTTATAGAATTCCGCAGCCTTGGTAATGTGCTTTGTGATTTCTGTATAATTGAAGTTGGGTGTTTATTTTATAATAATGTGGGATGGTTCTGGAAGAGGCTAAAAATATTTATCATATATTTATATGACTACTGGTAATGTGCTTGAAATTTTTCTGTCTACAGGGAATGAAATAGCTTTAAACTCAGTGTGAAAATAATAGTAAATCTTCATATTAAGCGATATCTGAAGAAGACACGATTTAAAGTATGATTGTCATTTAATCATAGTTGCTGTTCATGGTGCTTCTTTGTGATTGGGTATTTTTCTTAATAGAAATAGGAAAATTAGTATTCAGTGACTTCATGAAAAGATTTGTAGGCTTTAGTGATAGTTTATTTATTATTATTTTTTTAAAGATTTTATTTATTTATTTGACAGAGACACAGCAAGAGAGGGAACACAAGCAGGGGGAGTGGGAGAGGGAGAAGCAGGCCTCCTGCGGAGCAGGGAGCCCGATGCGGGGCTCAGTCCCAGGACCCTGGGATCGTGACCCAAGTCGAAGGCAGACGCTCAAAGACTGAGCTACCCAGGCGCTCCTAGTGATAGTATATTTAAAACATATTACATTTTTATAGTTCTTTACATATTTCATAGTTAAAAATGCACAGAACCCTATGAAATAGGGCAGATACTACAATTTTATAGAATAGG